ACTCGGCTTCTCAGGATCTCCTTTGCCCATGTTTACTTGTTTTCCTCAGCGAGGTACAGAGTCGCCCAGTGCCCGTCTGGCTCTCACTTGCCCCGGCGCTGTCTCTATGGAGCTCAACGTACTGCAATGGCTGTGAGAGCGGGAGCCAGACGCAGCCTCCTCACTCTCTCCGCTCTGTAACCAGTCTTTTTCTTTCTAAGGTAACAGTCCCAGGTAACTTTACTACCGTGCTGTGAAGTTGACTAATGCAATTAACTTGTGATGACTTAAGAGCTTTTTACCAACATAAGCTCTGCTTGCCCCCACCTGCTTTGAAACAGTGAGCTGTCTGAACTTGCGTCTCCCAAATCATAATTCATAAAATGCCCCTAAAGTTCTCTTACATTTACAGTTTCAAAAATTTATAATTTCTAATCTTTAATTGACAGTTTTTAAATCTCCAAACAGGCCCGGCCCATAGCTCAGCAGCTTAAGTCCCTGCCTGGCAAGCACAAGGTCCTGAGTTCAGTCCCCAGTACAAAAAACAAACAAACAAAAATCTCCAAGGAATGTTTTGTTGTTGTTGTATTGAGATAGAATCTCACTATGTAGTCTATGTAGTTCAGGCTGACCCTGAATTTCCTGTGTAGCTCAGGCTGGCCTCAGACTTGCAGTGATCCTCCTGCTGTAACCAGGTTTCTGGGATGCTTGGGACCCCTGTTAGAGACTCTTCCCATGTTCTTTTTGTCCTGCACAAGGAACTGGACAGAACTGGTGCAAAAAGTAGCAAGGTTTTACATTTATTAAAGATCAGAAGAGAAATAAGCTCTACAGAGTGAGTGTGGGCCAACTAACAATAGAGAAAGCACACACGCTGCCGTGAGATGGGACAACTGAAAACCTCAGTGTCTTGACCACTGTCTTTTGTGTCCCCTGTTCCTTGAGCTGCCTGGGAACTGGGCCTTCCCATCAAAAACCTGCTTGAGTTCCTTCATAAGAACTGAGGATAGCACTTTCTGATTGATCTTAGGTGCGGAGCTTGGGAGCTCCTCTTCCATGCATGTGTCCCAGATCTCTGTGCCTGACAGGCCACATTCATTTGCCCAGCCTGCTGGCTGCAGCCCTAATCTCCTGCCTCCCTGCCTCAGCCTCCTCAGTGCTGGGACTACAGGTGTGTGCAGAAAGATTTTTTTTTAACTCATTTCAATGCTGTAAAGTTTCCCTTGTATGAATCTACCAATAATATTCTCCATTTTTAAAAAAATTTATTTATTTTATTTATTTATTTTGTGTGTGTGTGGCCAGCTCAGCC